CAAGCTGTATTCGGGCCATAAAAGAGGTTCCTGTTAACTCGGGTTACAGACCGTAACAATGTACAACCACACTTCTAGGCTGCGATCTCAAGATCAAGTACCAGCCCACTACAGTTTTTGGACAAGCCGATGAATTATAGAGATCAGAAGGCTTCAAAAGAAAATTGTGGAAGATATTCGTGGCAGACATAAAAGCTGAAACATTTTGCGGCGTATTGGGTGATGCAGTTCATGGACTTCTGGTTACCTACGACGCTATTCAAGAAATTACTGAAAGTAGTGAGATATTGAGTGTAGTTGAGGGTTATCTTCTTACCAGATGACCAAACTATCATTTTTAAAGAGAACATTTACAAAATGTTTGTCGACCTCACTCACTAATGGTTGTTGGCTCATATGTTATGTTCGGTGACTGAAATGCTGTCCTAGGATTATTGTACCAAAATGCTCACGGGTAAATTCACAGTGGTCACCTTAGGATCAACAGGATGAAATGCTTGACCCAAAGTCATGCCTGTTGGCCATCAATGGAAAGAGATATCAATGATAAGCTCTATAGATGTTCGTCTTTTCTGCAAGTTGTTAAAAACCCTACGGAATGTGAACCGCAACAATAATCTATATCTTGCTGGACCCTGGACGGGACTCAATGCAAATTTCGCTTGTCCAGTTCAAGGAAAAATGCTTTTAGTTACCGTAGTTGCAATGACAAAGTGGCCGTAAATATGTACTATGCCGAACTGTCCAGCCGAAGAAACGATCAGCAAGCCGTCTAGATTTTTTGGCTATTTCGTGGTAATGAAAGCCTTGGTGATGGTCAGCAGCCCGAAATTCGCTTCTAACTTAAAACGATTTCCGTTTTAATTAGTTTACGTTAGTAATTTGCGAAAATGAACTCCGCAGTATTGTTACGTCCACAATGCCACTCTATGCTAATGATGCCAACTCATCTTGTATCTGCCCTTAGCATACGCATTTGAAAACATGTATGTATCTCGCCCCAAAGCCTTTTTATCCCATATATGGGATAGATTTGAAACTACATGAAGTAAAAGTTCGTCTTTAATTGATTATATTTTTGGTTTTGATTCGACATATCGACAATTTGGCGAAATTAAGCTGTTAGTTGGATGGATTAAGTTAGGTTATTAGAGGATGGTGGGGCTTGGTAACTGATGTAATGAATTTGTGTAATTATGGTCTACTATGATATTAGTACTACTATAATAATAGGCTTAATCCTAAAGTTGCAAATTCATCATGACGTGACTGCCTAATCTATATCGTCTTACGTGCCAGTCACTTCATTGTCTATACCAACTCATCGCGTTGTAACAATGACCAAATATATGATGGAGAACAAACATAGGCTTGTGATAGATCAATATATTTAATATGAATACAAGATTATGTTACAACACTTGAGAGTGACCACGCTTGCAAGGTCGAGTCATGCCGTCCGATCAATTCGAATTCCTTCAATTCCTTGTTCCCGCCTTCTCCATAGATGGGTTTTTCTCCGCGTTCAGTGTTGGATATCTATTTACCCAGTTGTCTCGTGTTCAGCTTTGAGGATTGTGTGGTTACGGCCCAATGCCCCACAAATTCCTTAAATGAAGGTTAGTAGTTTTCTCATTAGTTTCAGAAAAGCTTTATAAAATGGATTTTAAGTATAATAGGGATGCCGATTGATGTGTCTGTTAGCTAAATTGATAAACCATCTTTAAAGAGGACGTAAACTTACACATTATAACACAACAGTTCCACAAGTGTTACAAGCAGAAATTACCTATGTTATGATGACTGCGTACGCAGTAGTTTCTCAAGTTCTATATCTACGGTGAGCGATGAAAGTTTTGAAGTAACAGTCATTATTTACGTTTCCCTCCTACTCTTTACATAGTGTAACTCAATGAAATTATTAGGAGAGATACAATTGATCGCAGTATGTTACGACTGACCAATGAAGATAGTGTCCAGTAAAATGTTTTGGATTTTTATGCCAAAACTCTAAACGTAGTAAATTATGGAAATAAGCGTACTCATCGTAGTCCAAACAAACCACTTTACACTCATATTTTACTTAGTCATATTAAAACTGGGCAGAGAAAAGAAGAGGCACACCTTCATGAAACAGTAGAGACTCTGAACACTTTCCTCCAAACACAGTGTACTGTTTCATTCCAGAGAAGTAGGAACATAGTCAGTTGGTTATCCAGCTGTCAGTGTTGACGCTGATTAACTTGTTAAGTAAACGTTGTCTTGGTATGGAATGAAAAGCTGAAGTGTAGTCCAGAAAAGCACAACGAACATACTTCTTACCCTTTTCTAAGTTGAACACTATGTTGTGATGCAACACAGTAACAGCATCTAAAGTGTTTTTTTGTGTCTGTAATCAAACTGATATGGATCAATATGATCGTTTATCGCAGGCTCAAGTGGAAGTATTAATAATTTTTCCATGGTTTTTAGGAAGAGTGTAGTTATTGCAATAGGTCTAAATTTTACATTCTTATCACCAGATGCTTTATTGGGTACAGGAATTATCTTCCTCTTTCTCCACATTTTCGGTATGAGATTAGATGAGAAGGATTTGTTAAAGATAGTTGTAAACGGATGACATAGGACGTCAGCACACTTTTTAAAAATGATGTTTGGGATTCCATCAGGTCCCAAACATCGAGATGAATTCAGCGACTGGAGGCATCTTTGTATATCAGTATCAGTAAAAGTAGGAACACAGCTATTATTTAAACCCGTGGATAGAGGGAGCATTACATTAGATGACTGACATACAAAAGACTTATTTAAGTCAGAAACATTCAGCTGGTTATCGCTTCTAAACTGTCCATCACCTGTAAGTTTTTTAAAGAGTTTCCACATACTTAGAGAGTTTTTGCAAGACAAGAGTTTTTGAGTAAACATACAGTTGAGACGTCTAACCTCTAGGTTTATCAGACCATTTAGTTTACGAAATTCATTAGAGTTATGCTCCTTGCACATTATTTCTTTCATCCGCCGTAGTCGTTTTAGTTGTGCAGATGTAAGTCGATCAAAACTTACAAAAATGGTTTCAGTGGGACAACAAATATCAGAACAGAATTTAAGGTAACAAGTGATAACATCAGTAGTGTTTTCCAGTGAGTCATCTGTAAATAATTCCCAGTTAGTCGTATGAAACATGTTTTTCAGATGTTGAATATTTATTTCTGAGTAATTTCTATATTTGACTTTCTTGGTTTGATGTAAGAGTGTACTCTTCCCATGCTTCCCATATACTGTAGGTGGAACACGAATTATACGGTGGTCCGAGCTAGATAATGGGGCACGTTTACGAGTCGCATATATACCCACATCATTAATGAAAACGAAGTCTAAATGAGCATCCAAACGAGTGTGAAAATCTACTACATTGTGGTGACCTAGTGACGTAAGTAAACTATAGTCATATGAATTGAAATCACCACATACAACTAAAAGTGAATCACTCAAGGCAGTAACAGCGAACTCAGTCAATTCATCAGCGAAAACAGATAGTGCAGATGATGTGCAATCTGGAGTCACGTAGATATTGGTAACATAAACATATTTGTATTTATTCAGATGTTTTGGACGACATCTTAGAGTTAGACAGTCAATAAAGTCATTTGAAAACTTAAAACACACAAACGAAGATGGACACCAACTTATGTTTACAAACGTAGCTACACCGCCACCACACCTCATTTTATTGTTTGATCGATCCTGACTATAAATTATGAAATCCCGTAGTGATACTAGGCAGTCATCCTGTAAATCATTTAACCAAGATTCTTGCATTCTGATGACACCACAATTACGACACATATTTTGACTTGGTAGGATCCTACTAAGTTGATTAGTGATCGACAGTTATAATTTAGCAGCTCAGGAATCGACATACGGTTAATATTCATTCTCTTTGACGCATATTGCCAACAACCACGATGTCTTTTATAGTACTTTTTTGTAACCTGTGCAGCGAAAGGTCGTAGGCTTTTCATAAAAGCTCCTGAATAGGTTATGCGATTAATGGACATAATTATAAGTTAAAACAAACGAAAAAACAGATAGCTTGTTGAAATAATCAGATGGCAGAAACAGGTAGCCCAGATATTTAAGCAGACCGCAAACAGATTAATGTGATAGTAAGGATTACAACGATTTCCGTTTGAAGTACTTTACGTTAGATCTTATGCGAAAATTAACTGAGCAGTATTGTTTGGTCTACAATGCTAATTTATGCCAATAATGCCAAAATTTATTAGTAAGTAATGGAGGATGCATGTGCACTCCAGGCTGAGCTAGATCTACTAGCCGGCTAGTCTAGATTGGGGGAGATACGGACTTGAAAACTATGTTTAATAGGCAAATCCGACAACTTGAAAAAAGAAAAAACGACGACTTTCTATGCAAATCAGGATTTCCGAGGATTACTGTGCACACTATGCCTCTATTGGTCAGATCTCATCTTGTCTTAGTGTAGATTATAATGTGTGTTCTGTGGATATCTAAAATAGTAATCTACTTTGGACCAAATATAGCTTTCATTTATCGTTTGGCTACGATAAGAAAGCTCAGGAACATAGTAGGCTAGTTCAAGTGCCAAGAATGAAGTAAATATCCATATAATAGAGATTTTGTGGTGTTTGAACTTAGAGGTAATCAATTCAAGGAAACACTAGACACTCAGAAATTTACCTGAAGAGGATTGATACCGAAAGTTTTTCATAGCGGTTTGAATATGATCTGAAATCAATCTGATGAAAAATTTCACATTGTTGGTACCTGTGGATCATTCTGTATATTATTTTTTATTTTTCTACCCTAGGAAGGTTTTGAGTGATGTCCCTTAACTTTATAATCTTCTGTATTATATGAATCATCATATTGTTAGGTAGAGAAGACCCAGGGTTGTTCTTGGGTATTAAGGCACTCGTGAAAAAGTCGGCTGTTTAAGACCCAACAATCACGGAGATATTGGACATTGGACCCGCAGCGCTGCTTTCAGTTCGGTAAAAGCGTGTGCTTTTTGTTTATGTGAATGTTATGCAGGGGGACACTGAGATCAGCGTTAAAGGTAAGCTAAGAATCATCACACTTCAGTTTGATGGTCAGATGACCGCTGTATTACTTCCAACCGACGTAACCTATTGCAGTCTGAGGTACGAAAATGTAGTGTTTTTTATAATGGTTTAACATAGGTTGTGTCTTTCTTTACACCAGTGGCAGATAAATTGAGATTGAAAGACAGTCAGTCTATTCATAGACCGCGTCTTGACATTGTTGAGGAAAAGCCACGGACTAAGACTATAGTCGTCAGACTGAGCTCTCCGGTAATGTCAGAAGGCGTACAAACGTTGGGTAAATTAAATAACTTTTCGTCCAATCCACTAAATAGATCACAAAAATAGTGTGGACGTCATCACTACATTTCTACCGATGGAAACTAAAGCCAAGTCATCAATGAGCAGTTCTATTGTTACAAATGGGTCTGTGCCACACCAAGAGTTAGTGCCTAATATTCTGCCTAAGGACACAAACACAAAAAGACCTTCAGTACCGTGTGTTTCATCGAATACACCGAATCGAAAGTCACTGTTTACTAATTTGATACGCAGACTTTCAACCCCGCGAAACAAAATATCTCGCACTGATAATTCTTCTGTTCTGTTAACTAAAGGTGAGACAGGTATGTCACACAGCGACTCTGGATCAAGCAATCCTAGTCCACGAAGGTTACGCAGGTGGTTCACAAAGCGTATGTGGAAATCTGCAAAACTGTCTGATCAAATTCATGGGACACGTAAGTATAGTTTTTTACATCCTTGGTGGATGAAGACTTTGAACTTTTTTGCATACTCCTCGTAAATCTGTTATTTCGAACAATCTTGTTTTTAGTGTAAGAGTTATAAAAATCTAACAACATTGCTGAGGTTTGTTGTTTTGGCAGATACTAACGCAGGACTTCACACTTCATGTTTAATTGTTCCCTTTTATAATAGAAAAAAAAACAAAACATTTCATAGGGCGATGTCATGTACTCATTTTTCACGAGTTCTCTTGGAGGACGCTTATAATTGTCAGTACTCATTTGTCCCATTCCTAATTTGCATATTGCTGGATATTTATTAGTTATGTGAGGTATCATTGATAAAAAGACCATTTAATTAACATGTTCATGCTAATTAATTTTTGAACCATGTTTGCTGTCGGTTCAGTTAGAATCCTAGCTGTCAAAAAAATACAATTCACTATCTTGGTGTCAAAAAGTACCCTTCAGCTACTTTTGTAGTGGATTAGACCACTGATAGCATTATAAATTATTCTTGAGATTTAGGTAATTAAGGTTGCTAATATTGGTGGTGTCCATCGTTACGGTATGGATTGTTCGAAAAAGCGCGATTAATAGTAATGCTAACATATTTCTGACCTAGTAAGAGACACCTTTCCTGAGGTTTATAATAAGAGTAATGTCGTTATATTACCTGATATGTTCATTTAACGGTGCAACCTTGTCTATGTTGCATCCTCCATTAGCGCGTTTTACAGGAACTAAACAGCAATATCTTAATGTCGCATCATTTCTTCGGTTATCAATAGAAATAGGAATTACATTGCTAGGGATGTACAGGTCATGAGTCGCCGGACTATACACAATAAGTTTCGTGATTACTTAAAGGAAATTGAATAGGTAGCTAAGGGGTATGTTGTGTCTTTTGGTGTAATCTTTAAGGGGGTTTGTTACAACCTGGTTATTATCTGTCACTTTATGAGGGGATGAGACTAATCTGATATTAAAGTGCTCATCAAGTCGTCACATATTTTCCAGAAAATATTAAAGGCAACGTTAGATTAAAGGGTTACCTTACAACTAACTTTCTATAGTTCGTTCTATTTTCATCCAAGTTTTGTTTGTTTTTGTTAGTTTGCTTTTTATTGGCGTGTTCTGTAGTGGTTTACACGATGTTTTGAACAAGAAGGAATGAAATTTCCTGTTTTAGTTCCAGATTTGTGATGCTTTGTAGCCGAAATAATCTTATCGGACAGTTAACTCAAGCGCAGGACCAATCGTCATAGGTTATTCAGTCATTATTCCCAAAGATCTAAACAAATGTTTTCTGATATATTCCTACGGATTAGTTATATGTAAGGTTCTAGAGGTAGCAGTCGTATTCCTTGCCGATTCCTGTTATCATTGCAAATTTTTTTCTATTATCACACAGCCGCTTGGTCTTGTTAATGTTCTACTCTTTACTTCGGCGTTTATTTTCCCATCTATGTACTTGTATGGGTTAACTGGATAATTACATTGATCACTCAATCAGAGTTAAATGAGTTTTATTTGTTGTGAAACTTAATTGGATATCATTTATCAAAAGCTTCACGAATTCACTTTATATAATTCAATAACTAATTAGGAACATTTGCTAAATATCTCGTTTGATACATATATTATTCGTAAACCCTATCTTTTGATTCGATTAACTTTACTTTTCTACAGATTGTAGCACAAATTCACAACCTTTATTAATCAGTGTTGATCCTGTTTTAGAGACTCAGTATACGCACTCCACAGTTGACGACTTATCAGAGGAGTTGCAGTTGGTCACCCAGGACATTGGATCTGCTCCAGTCCCCCGTAAGCTCATATTCGTACCACATCCAATGAAATCCCCCTCACCACATTCACAAAACGTTCTCGGTCAAAATTCTAGTTATAAAGTCGTAGTAAGTTTCTTGACAACTCTATTAATGTGTGTGTAATCAAATTAAAGATACTAAGTTTCGTAACGACCAACTATTCAATATTGACTCCGAAGTGTGTTATTGAATTCCCTGCGCAAATTATTTAGCCGATTAGTTATAAATAATGTACGACTTCGTGAAATATGCATTGGGCCAAGCCCCAGACGCTCTGACACGGCCGAAGTTAAAGAGAGTCTGCTCCCTCGAAGTACTTTCACAAGGACACGCGTATACAACCATTGCCAGGGAAGTCCTACTCACTGTCTTCTCGTAACGGGGGTGTTGTCTACGAAATTGAGGGGACAAAAAGCGAATTTCCGGCACTTTAACCGGGTTGGTGGATACGGAGGGTCCATCTAGAGGAGTTGGAAAATCCTGATTTCAAACGAATGGTGTACATGGGCCACAGGATTCTGAAGGAACAAATGACGTATGAAGCAATCGTTGGTCACCGGCTACCATGGGACTGCATCTCCTTACGTTACTCTATTGCCCTGTGGATCAGACCGTTAGGTCGAAGGCTCCAGGTGTGGTCCCCTAAGAAAACCACATGCTTCGGTTTGAGCACCCGGGCAGTATCCCAGCCCTCACATAAATCGATTGATTTATGTGGCCATATATATTTGGTGCCTTCTTGTATCATTGTTTATGTGTTTGAATAAATAAATAGGGACTAGACAACGGAACACGTTTACGAGTGACATATATCCCCACATCATTAATTAAAACTAAGTCTAAATTGGCACCCGAACGAGTGGGAAGATCTACCGCATTTTGGTAACCGAATGATAAAATAAAGCTACATTCATATGAATTAAACTCGCAACATGTAATTGTAGGTGAACCATTAAAAGCAGTAACAGCAAATTCAATGGATTCATCAGCGATACCCAGAGTGCTGATGATGTGCAGTTCAGAGTCATGTAAGTGTCGGTAACATAAACGTAATCGTATTTGTTCAAGTGCTTGGAATCTTGAAGTTAAATAGTCGATAAAGTCGTCTGAAACTTAAAATTTGCTAGATTAGATCACTAGTTCACATTTACAGATGTAGCTACGCCGCCACCACATATTTTCTTATTACTTGATCGATCCTGACGAAAAATGTTACGACCTTGTAATGATTTTAAACAATCGTCGTGTAAACCATTTAACCAGGATTCTTGAGTTGTGATTACAGCACAATTACGAAACATATTTGGACCCAATAGTAGTTGGAGATAGTCCATTTTGCCAACTAGTGATCGGCAGTTGCAAGTTAGCAGTTCGAGAATCGACATCTGATTCATGTTCATTCTTTTCAATACATATTGCCTGACACTATGATGTCTGTGGTTGTATTTTGTAAAGCGTAAGTCGTAAACTTCTCATATGCACTTGAATAGGTTATGCGTTTTGTAATCACGTACACGTTTCTCTACTTCTTAAAATAATGAGTGGACGCGGTAAAGGTCGAGAAGTTCGTAGTAAGGCTAAAACAAGGTCAACCCGTGCTGGTTTTCAATCCCCTGTTGGTCGTGTACATTGTCTTCTTCGCAAGGGCAATTACGCTGAGCGAGTTGGTGCTGGTGCTCCAGTCTATCTAGCTGCAGTTCTCGAATAAATAAAAATCATAATAATGTGTTAAACTAAATAAAAGAGATAACTTGTTGAAATATCTAGTGGTAGCCACAGGTAGCCCAGATATCCCATCAGGCCGACAGTTTATATTAATCTAGCACAAATAAAAACAATTAGTAGTAAGACATTTACATTCTACAATAATCAAATAGTTATCCATAAGACAGCATTACATCTTGGTCATGAAAAAATGTTTGGTTCTTATTGTGTATATTTTCTAGGCTCAAGATACTGGGGTTGATTACAACATCCATGTTTCCATGCAATCTGAACGTGAGTTGAAACTTCCATGTAGTTCTTTTCATTTTTCTTTGGTAAAAAGTGAATTATGACCTATTCACCTCCATTTATACTTTTTACGACGTATGAACCTATTATTGGTCACCAGCTGCCATGGGACTTCATCTCGTAGCGTTGCTCCACTGCCTTGTGGATTAGACCTTTAGGTCAAAAGCTCGGGATCTGGTACCCTAAAGAAGCCACCTGTTTCAGTCTGGGCACCCGGGCAGTATCCCAGCTCCTACACAAATCAAATGATAACTACTATTGGCAAAATTACTTTTGCTTCAACGCTTATTCAGACGAATCATTTGATAACATTCGTTTCTATTTCTTTTGCACTACGTTACTTATCTACTCCCTTTTATTCTCATCCTGCGTATTTTTCAACATACAGAGCAGCTAGCCTATGGTGGAAACCGTGTTCTATCTAAACGATATGGAGTCACTGACTGGTCGAAAGTTGAATGCTACCACCAACTACGAATACTGAACCAGTCTTTCTGAAACCACACATCCATTCAAACTGACCAATCAGGACTTGTTGGTCACAGGTCGCAACGGTGACTGTCTACTGCAACTTTGCGTAGACTACAATCTGTTTTCGGCTAGCACTGACTTCCGGCACAGTAATCGCCGATGTGCTACCTGGCGCTCTCCTTCTGCATCTCAAGCTTGGACTCAGATTGATCACATCGTGATCAGCTATCTCTGGCATAGTTGTGTACAAGACTACCTCTCCTTTTGGATTACCTATCTGGACTCTGATCATGACCTTGTTTGCGTTAATCTTATGTTTCACTGGCCAACAAGTTCATCGTCCTAAACGGACCATTGTCAGCAAATTGGTTGTAGCTGTTGTTGCAACTAAATATCAAACCCAGTTAGGTTTAAGGCTAGCTACCAGCCCATCGAGCAGTATAGATAAGTATTGGCTACAGTTGCTTGATACCATGGAAACGGTGAAATGTCCTGCTTATAAGCATTGGGTTTCTACAGGCTCCTCACAACTCATTGAAGCACGTCGGTCTACTCTGAGTGACCGCGAGTTTGACCATAAATGGAGATTGTTACGTAATGGAACTGTACAAAGCTTGCATATGGAATGAGAAGCCTGTTGATTGGAGCGTGCCATTGAGTTTAAAGTAGCAGCTGCATCTGTTACCTACCGGAAGTTCTTTCAACCCATCCGAGTCACTGGCAGCAAGTAGTTTGGTGTGTGTGAAACAATCTGTGAAGATGAGATAATGCCATTCAACAGCATCTACTGACGTCTTGGACGATAGGCAGAGTTTTTCGAGGAGTAATCTAACTGGTCTGTTGTCCCGGTCTGACTGTCCTGCTCTCCATGACCGGTGATGACTGATCCACCTAACGAGCCGGAACTCCAATACCTAAAGCGCCACGTGTCACCAGACCCAGATGACTTAACTCATGCCCTTTTATAGATAGTGGCAGGTTATTGAACTGATGGTTGTTTGCGAAAATTTGAGAATTAGAGTGTTCCAACCTTGCGTCTGTGAGAGCAGTTTTGCTCTATACTTGTGAAACCTGGCCTCTTCGAGTTAAGGATGTTAGACGACTCTCTGTGTTTGATAATCGTTGTCTCCGAAGGATTGCTGACATCCGATGGCAACACCATGTCAGTAATGCAGAGGTTCGGCATCGTGTGTTCGGGCACAGAGACGATAATGCAATTGGTGTCACCATCTTAAAACACCGACTTCGGTGGCTTAGATATGTTCTACGAATGTCGTCCCAGAGAATTCCACGTTGTGCATTATTTGCCGACTCTGGGACGTAGCAAAATGCGGAGAGATGGTCAGTGTATGGTGTACAGGACTGACTTCTGTTGGTCCTTCACGACTCCCTGGTTGGAGTCCTAGAGATTGTGCAACAGTGGCTTGAGTTGTTATCAAACATGGTTCAGAATAGAAACTACATGCTTCGGTTTGAGCACCCGGGCAGTATCCCAGCCCTCACATAAATCGAGTGATTTATGTGGCCATATATATTTGGTGCCTTCTTGTACCATTGTTTATGTGTTTAAATAAATAAACAAATAAAAGTATACAATTGCTATTATCAATTAATGTTTTAGTAATAGTTTTGATATTCTTTGTTTAATGTTTGTTTCGATAAGCATTTATATATTTAAGTCTTTGTACTCTTGTTTTATTCACTAGTTAATAATATCAGAATGGATACTGAAGTCAAAAACTCTCCAAACTGTTCACCATCTTCTCTATTTTGTACCACTGGCATTCATTCGCCGGTGGCCAGTTCCCCACTACTTTCTGCCGTAACACGTGAAAATAGTATATGTTCTGTTGGAAACGTAATTCGTCATTTTGGAGTACCATTTCACCATGACATAAATAACATTGAGTCAAATAATTTTCGTCGATCAGAAGCGTTAATTTCACAGTCTTTTGCAAAACTCCCACAATCTGTAGCGTCCCAGTATCGCACATCTCCTTTGGCCGTATGTAGCTGTAAGTTCTGTGAGTGGTTTCTATACCAATTTATACTTATCAGTTAGAACGTTGGGTGACATACATTTTCTGTGTAAAGTACGGTGAACAATACAATCAGAATTTTCCCAGTTGGTTTATATTTTCCTCTATATTTAAAATAGTTATTTTTTATTTCAGATACACCCAGTTATCTCAGCGCATCAGTGGCAGCATTCGGTTACAGTAAATATTACTCAGCATCAAAATCAATTCATAATCTAGTCCATACGGAAACTTCTCCTTTAGTAATTCAGGATGCTGTTGGACATAAGCTATCCATTGCCCGTTCTCATAGTGGGACATCAGATATTAAAAATGAAGTAGTTACTTCTGCAATTCCAAGTACAGTGATAAATACTTTCGGTGAAAAAAAGTCGCAAGTTGTGGGAAATATGTGTGGAGATGCTGGATCTATTTTAGAGGATTCCCGATCATCTTGTCGTCGAACTGAGGTATTTTTACCAGTTTTACATTGAGTTAATAAATTTGCTTCATAACACCATTTCCTTCGGTAACCAAAGTGACATCAACTTAGTTCACACTTATGATAAACAGTTTGATGATAAATATCTCTGCACTGTTACTCACTATAACATTCAGTTGCTGTAGTTGTTTGTTGAGTCCAAAATAGTTACCAGAGGTCAGTTTATGATTAAGTGCTATGTAATAAAATATAGTTGCATCAAATTCGCGTCTAGGTGCCTTTATGAACTTTGGTTGTCATCATAAATGATTTACAGTTGATTGTTGTGTTTGATATAATGTAACTCGAGGAGTTCTAGTGAGAGATGTTCGTGCGATAACGTGAATTTTGACTGAAGTTAAACTCATACATTATCGGATCCCAGCATAGTGGTCTAGAGGTTTGTACCCAAGGCTGAAGTTCCTTGGTTTGATTCTTGGTAGGGCCATGATTGCACACTTCCGAGGAGTCCCATATTGGGAGAAAATGACTTTAGTACTTGGTAGTTTTCAGTGGTAGTCTGACTAAAATCAGTCTGCGATGTGAACTATAAAAAGATTGATAAAAAAGTGCTTCACTCAAAGCAAAATGTAGAAAGTGAAAAAGCAACTATGATAGCCAGAACTTAATAGTGTTAAGGAACACAGTTCAAACGACAATACAACAAACATAACTTCTATTCTTCTCAGAAGTACACTTTGTAGTTTATATTAAACACATAAGTGAGTTTCGAATATATCAATACCGACTTTGATTTTCAACTGTCCTTATGTTTTCTGATTTATAAAACACCATTCATGGAGTTGTTGTAGACTAACAAATGCTAAATCAACACAACTATGATTTATTTGAGGAGAAATGTATAGTACTGTCTCGCTCTGGTCGTTTTTACTTATTTGTAGTATCGCTAAACGAAGCTTTACATGATAGTTGCTAGAAGGTCATGGGTAAATTGTATCGTAGCCACTAAAGTCGGTATGAAGATGATATTGTTGGTTGAACCGTAGTCTTTCAATGTACCTCACGATTACTTACAGGGTGTTGTCACTAAATGTGAAGAATCTTTTGGAGTGTATGTGAAGCAAACTTAAAACCGTCGAAAATCTTCACCTTCAAGAGGTCAGGTTCGTTAGATATAAATCAGAACTACTCGCTTCTCGAGGTCTACACTTAACACTGTATGGTAAATTTGATATTTCGATGTTGCTAAAGACGATTTGTAGTATCATAATTCGCTCTCCCATCATGTCCTTTGAAGTAAAAAATCTGCACCATCTCTATCGATAGATAACTTTGAGAAGAACGACGAAAATGACCAACCTAAATCATAAAAGTAGAAACGAAACCTCGAAATTCCAAGTTTTCTTTCGTGTTCGATCAAAGACTAGCGCTTCCAACGAGTTTCACGCTAAGATCGTACAACTACTCAGTGCTCTCTAAGTTCAGCGTTTATTTCACTGTACTAGGATTTTGAACAGTTTATGGTTTTCCTAGAATGTTGTCTTTATATGCAACGCCAACATTTTATGAAAATAATATTTTCTAACTTTGTATTTATTTTAAATCTTATTTAGTCTGGTCGTGATGGCGTTTGGAATGGTAGCACAGAAAATGTCAAGTTGAGAAGAAAGAGGGTAAGCATTTGCGATCAATGCATACTGTGTAATTATTATGTGGCATAATGAAATTTTCTGTCCTGTCCCGGGTTTTCTTAGGGAGAGATAAAGAACTGTTAAATAGTCAAGTTCACATGCATTTAGGGTTAGGGTTAGGGTTTATGTTAATATGTCCAAATTTGCGAAACTTCATGTCGTGTTCATTGTTTAGCTGTGTTCTAGAAATATGTTTTACTATGCATTAAAAATATACTAACAAAGAAATTCAGTATTGGCGCCATTAAAAGTGGTGAAATTTTAATTGAACTGCTTCGGTGAAATAAGAGCTTTGTACGAAAGGAGGTTTATTTGCTTTTGTCGGTAAACGCTAACCAATAACACTTTCAATGGAATGTGTTTGTGGTGGGGATTATACATTCTCTCATTAGTTAAACTTACTTCTGATTTCAGACAGTACTACAACAACGGTTCAGTTTTATATTGATATGCTTGGTTGCAAGCTTATTTATTTTAACACATAGATATGGGTACAAGAAGGCACCAAATATATATGGCCACATAAATCAATCGATTTATGTGAGGGCTGGGATACTGCCCGGGTGCTCAAACCGAAGCATGTGGTTTTCTTAGGGGACCACACCTGGAGCCTTCGACCTAACGGTCTGATCCACAGGGCAATAGAGTAACGTAAGGAGATGCAGTCCCATGGTAGCCGGTGACCAACGATTGCTTCATACGTCATTTGTTCCTTCAGAATCCTGTGGCCCATGTACACCATTCGTTTGAAATCAGGATTTTCCAACTCCTCTAGATGGACCCTCCGTATCCACCAACCCGGTTAAAGCGCCGGAAATTCGCTTTTTGTCCCCTCAATTTCGTAGACAACACCCCCGTCACAAGAAGGCAGTGAGTAGGACTTCCCTGGCAATGGTTGTGTGCACGTGGCCATGTGAGAGCATTTAGAGAGGGAGAGCTGTCTCTCCCCACTCTCGACCGTACCAGGGCATTTGGGGGCTACAGTATTGCTATAAACTGGTACATGTGTAATGTGCTTCTTCTATGGCCTGTGTATAGTTCTACCAAGAGGATTTCCACTTGTCGGCGAATATACATATCCTGCAACGAATTGTCACCAACTTGTTGAGTGACTTGAAAATGTGAACAGGGAGACGGCTTTTCAGAAATTTCATGCAATTGGTTCCCTTTATGAATTTGAATAGAGCAAGAACAAACATTGATGCAGAATAGTATGAATTCATATTATTTCGTGGTTTCTCGTCAGCTGCTTACAAACCAAAATTGTGATAGAATTTTTTTACATGGAGATAGTGTGAAAACAATGGACATAAATGAGTGTAAATAACTGGATTACAATAATAACTATATATATATATGCTAGAGGTCAAAAGAGGGGGGTTAATGCAGGGTGGGTGATGTAATAATTTAGTGAAGTTCATAAATTGTGATAATTGTAGAGATTAATGAAATTAAATAATGATAAGGTAGATTACGTAATAATAATTAAATAGAATTTGGAAAGTTAAGATAATTTAAGAGGATCAGGTGGTGGAAATGTGTGAATAAAATTTATTTTAAAAATGAGGTAATAGGGGGGAGTATAAAATATCTTAGAATAAGTAAATAAAAAAATAACCAAAACACAAAACAAACAGAAACAAAAAGACTATTAGGGTAGTGATAAGTTTATTAAAGTCTCTTTTTGAATGCATAAATCCGGTTTCAGTTTCTTAATCGCAATCGCTTCAGCAAAGCGGAGAGTGGTAGTACTTTTTTGTCTATTGATAATTTTAAACGCGTGCAGAATATCGACGGTATGCCCGGTGTCAAGTAGATGTCGAGCTATTGCACTGTTAAAAGCTTTGGTCCCTCGCAGCGTCAAGTTCTTCGGAATATCACAATTTTGGTTTGTAAGCAGCTGACGAGAAACCTCGAAATAATATGAATTCATACTATTCTGCATCAATGTTTGTTCTTGCTCTATTCGAATATACATATGTTTGCACAATGATGGCACCAACTATGATATACTTTCTATCACCACCTTTGTTCGTAGCTTGACTTTGTCCTAGTTAATTCGAACACATTAAAATTGGTCGGGAGCAAGTTCTTCCATTTTTAAACCACTACAGTATTTCATCTTGTATAATACGTAAACTTTACTTGCTCCCTAATTTGTATACTCGTTCCCTAAGTGACAATTTTCACTGGTTATTTAAATTTGTTTGTATGATTTTAGACAACTAGTAACACCAATAACACTGATGATCAAGAACACTGGAATCGATCTTCACTCATTATGTTGGCGGTCGCTCATGCTAGTCCTCGTGGTCGTGTTATAACTCCCACAACTGCACTAAACAAATCTTTCTTTCCAAGCTTTTCAGATTCCATCACTGCTTATAGCGAGGTAAATGAGAGTAAAGGAGAGCCCAATACTTCAATACAACATAAAACGGAATTAGGTGAATATTTATCCTATTTTTTGATGACATTTTAATAGTACAGTTATTTTCTTTAAAAATGATTACTGTAAATGGCAGTAGATAACAGTTGCGTTCTTTAGAGTAACTATTGTCTATATCCTATGAAATTAAACACGGGTTTTAGGTTTTGTGAAAAACACCACAAAATCTTTACATACAACTGGCCAATAAGTAACGAGTGATAATATTTCTTAGTTATTCAAAATTTGCTATTGATTGAGATCATGAACCGATTGATGTTAGACCACCATTGGAAACCTGGAAGCACTGGACAGCCGTTTCGCCCTATTGTGGGACTCGTCAGTAGTGCGCTTCCACGAGTACGATCAATCCACATCGATTATGTGAACTTGCAAAAGGTGTTTATAACATATCTCCATCATGTCCTAAGCTTTTATGATCCTATCTATATAAGATCGGCCAGTGGTTTATTTTGAATTTTCTCAAGAAATCCTTAAAGGTATTTGATAGCTATATTCTTTTCAGTGTTTTATATTTTATTTTATTGGCTACTGAGATAAATTTCTTCATTCAAAAAATTGACTAAAAGAGTGTAGCAACTTGTCTTTTCGATTAGTTTTTCTTCATGCCAATCAAGTTTTGGTGTATTGGATAAAATAACATTACAAATTCAAAAGTTCTTACTGAAATAGTTACGAATGATTTACAAAGTAATTGAAAGATAGACGGTGTGGACAAAGTGACTACTATTTACTGGTATTGATTCATAAATGAATGAAGTGAAATAAATAGTTATAGAATTGATATTTTGCATTGTATAATATAAGTGAATTAGTAAAATTTTCAATCCGAAGTTGACTATTACTAACAATCACATATTGTTATTGTTATGCAACAAGAAAAAGAGAACATACATTTCAAGAAAAAAGAGATGTCGAGAAAAGTGTGTTTGTATGTAACCCATTCTAGTTTAGGTGGTTCCGATGATCATATCAATTTAGGGTTCATGACTCAATGATTAACTGAATACCAATATAGCTGATGCTATTTTTTGATAGTTTTAGATATCGCAAACTGATAAAAACAATTGTGTAGTATCTCATTATTTTCATTAAAAATAACAGTTAAAAGGATAATTCATATTAATTTGTGTTGTGTACACTTGTTCCCAATACTACTGGTTCATTTGCAACATTTCAATTTATATTTCTTGTCCAATTACAATTATGCCACGTTGTATATCCAAAAGAAATCATTAATGGGTTGTAAATGTGCTGTGATGTAATTTCGAATTATCCAATTTTTGAGATTGAAGTTATATTTAGTTCTCATCTACTGTTGTTTACGTTCAAATGTGTAATCACTTGCTAATTGTCGAGTATGTGCTGCGCTATGTATCCTATATTGTAATGTTTATCTTTTTTACTAGTTGATAGTCGATTATTTGTCTAAAAAAAACTATTAGTCACTTTCAAATATTGTTTTTTTTAAATTTTTGCTTAATAACTAACTAAATGGACTAATCACATTTTTATTTTCTACAAGTTGATACACTCAGTAGCAGCACTGAACTATCATTTGAAGGAAATTCATCTGTAATAATTAATTCTATCAAAGACAAGCAGTCACTCAATACTGATTATACAACGTTGTCAAATCAATTAGAAATTCAAGTGGATGGGAATTTTTATCTTCAACAAGTAGATCAAACAGAGAAAGAATTATTGAATAAAGTTTGTGAAATTGAAACTGATCTTAATAATGAAGTTGATTTGAATGATGAAGGTAATGGTATCATATAATATACTGTTTTCAGATAATATTATTTTCGATAATGTCTTTATGTACAAATTATATTTTGCTTATGCATAAATTTAGCTGTGATTTCTTTTATTCAAGATGAACGAATTCTATTTCATGAAAGAAACTTATTTTATTATCTATCTTTCCATTCTTTAAGTAGTTAGATATTTCATCAATAAATCCAAAAGTCTTGAATAATTTGAGTTATAATTCAATGTATCTTGTTAAAAAAATAGTCAAGGTAATAGGATTTAGGACATGTGCTAAACACTTAGTTGCTAACATAATGATGATTTTCAGGTCAGAAGAATAGTCTTGTGGAAACCAGGCTCTATGAGCTATGTGTTCTAATCAAAAACTTTCATTATTCTTCTAGATGACATCATCAGCACAAACTTCTGGTAAAAGTGAGCCATCGAAATTTGTTTTTTCCATGTCGAATTCGATTGGTGGTTATTAAGGCTTATACTGTTATTTTGTGGACATTTGTTTTGATTGTCTTCTTACCTAATTATTGGCTCTGTACTTGTTTATCTTGTTTTAAATTGGTTGATGTGTCTATTTCACTACTTACTGGTCACTTATGTAAGTGTGAATCTTCTAAAAATTCTCTTTTTCTTTGTGCTACCTCTATCCAAGACTTCAGCATTTTTCAAGTCTAACGTCTCTTCATCTGTCGTTATAAGCAGAGATAATTCGTGACGTTTAGTAACTAAGACGAGGATGAAAAGGGTGGTCGTTTTGTCCACTTTACATGTTTTTCGAAGTTTAAGACTATTCGTCATCAAATGGATGGTTTGGAAAGTGTTGACAGTTTGATTAGCCATATTCTCGATGACATAAAATCGATATTGTATGTGTTAAACACTGAATATAACATGGCAAATCTAAAACCTCAAGTGTATAGCTCAATTCTATGCAAAGTTTGTACTGTTGTTTTTGTCTACTAAGACACTGAAAACTTCATGATTAGAATAGTTAGCTCAGTGAGCGTAACTTCACCGAAATTTCGGTGCTTCCTGACTATTCGAACATAAAAATAGAGCTAAACGTTATAATTCAGTAAAAAAATATCTAATGCTTTAACCATTTAACATTAACACTCTCATGAACATGTTTTTAAATCTTTTCTTACTAATATGGCAATAAATAACTTTTTATACAACACATAATCATTCTGAAATAGTTACGTGTTTCTGGAAAAAGTTACAAATACATTTTTGTTTGTCTTTAAAAGGTTTAAACTTTTTAACTGACTCACTAAAAAATCCTTTTATTATGCTAATGTTCATTTGCAATTGATCTATGGTAGAATGTATACATGTTTTTTTTTACTTGTATAGATTATTATTTAACTAAGTTGATATAACAAGATTCTAATTTACATATATTCTATCTCTGTTTACTTATAACATGAAAAATCAACAATATAAAATGTCTGTTAGCATCAGGATTTTAAAGATTCGGTTCGTTTATTTTCAGTACTTTAGCTTATCATAGTATCTCATGATAACTGTTTTAAACAAAATATTCGATAGCAAAATTTACCACTAAGATTTGTAATCGGACAAATTTGATTTCTTAATTTACACTTTAAAATCATGAAATTTTTATTTACTTCCTGTTTGTGAAGTGTATATTGTTTCTTGTTCTGAAAAGTATAAAAAGTGGTGAATAATTTGAAATTCATTAAATAGTGTTTCCTCTTTGTATCGGATCAACTGAACTATAGTTAACTTGAATATGTACTTCTGAGATATTGGCTAACCAGCACTTGTAATAAATTAAAATCCTGTCATAAAATGTAACGATAGTAGTTCATTTTATAACTTATTTTTCTAAATATGAATTTGTTATTATCAAAGTTCGTTTCCAAATAACTTGTCAGTATTTATTGAGTATGCACTGATCCATTCAAAGTATGTTAGAAAAAGAAAGGATTTCATGATATAATTCGAGATACAGAAGTGTATTACCACATTATTGACTTTCATACACTAAAACATGTCACAATGTTGATTGATTTCAAACAAATAAATAAGGTTATCATACCTGTTACGATAAAATTAGCTCAGGATTAAATCTATTAACACTTATGTAGTTTCCTAGTTATCATATTACTTATGTAGTTATCTGTAAAGGCAAACAAATCTTATTGTGAAGAAAAGTATAAACTTTAGTTAGATATACTTGTGAAAAACTTGAGATAATGAATAATTAACACAGTAAGTAGAAGAAATTGCTATTTATTTAAAGTTTCTAGAACTACCATTTACCGATACATATGAGATTTTATGTTTCGATCCGTGAAAATGTTTATGTGATTTTGTCTAAATTAGAAAACTTTGTTTGTTTGCAGAATATTTTCTTTGATTCAAAGATTTTAATGTGATTTATGTTTTATGAACGAAATAAACGTAAATTTCTAAGCACCGTATGTAATCAAATTCATCAATAATTAGGCGTAAAATTGAAAATTAATTGAATTATTTAATAAAGTCCGTTAGTCTCTTAGATGAATTTTGTGGACAGATTTTTTTCCTGTCCTGATTTGTGCGTATGTAAGATGGAATGAATTGTCGGCTTTCACAGCATAATACTTTAATTTGTCTAAAGTTTTGTTGATTTGCCTATATTTCGTACTGATCAATTATTAATAATCCATTATTTCAAATCGAGCCAACATTAGATGGAAAAAGTGGTTAGTTGTTGCTCAACTGTCAATTCTTATTCTTTTTGTGGAAAAATTTAGTTTCCGGTCTTTTACGAACTGCTTCTGGCAAAGCGAGACTACTGATTTCTGAAAAGTTTTGTCAATTTCGTGCCTTATGCCATCAAAACCTTGCCTGGGAAAATTCAAAAACAGTTGGGGTTGACAACAATTTCGTAAATGAGCCTAATACATTAGTCACTTTGGTTAGTGATTTGGATGGTTTCTGGGCGATGGTATCACTTCAAGTAGATGACATTCGTGGTTTATTCAAACAAGTGGATTCTTTACGGGCTAACAATTGGCAACCGGTTGATAACTCACTATCTCCTACGCAAAATATCTCAGTAGGTGACTCCATTTCATCAGAGAAACGAAAGGTATTATTTGCAAGCTTTTATTTAAAAAATTTTGTTACAACAGGTTTATTTCTATGTATGACTGACTGTGAACTGTGAAAAGTTGGTTAAGTTCTTCTATGTGCTTAGACTATTTATTTTAGTAGTGTGTCTGAATTAATTCTTAATGTTAAAAATGGAATTTATGACTAAGCACTCCCTTACACCATTTTCTATTGAGTTCAGAATCTTACAAATTAATTAGGCTTAGCCATTGATAAGTATGGAGAATAGCCCTGCTTCGGTTTGGGCACCCGGGCAGTATCACAGCCCTCACACATATCGGATGAGATTTGTGTGGCGCATATGTATTTGGTGCCTCTTTGTACCATTATCTATGTGTTGAAATAAATAATGGAGAATAGCAAACTTGTTCATTATTTTAGATTTATGTAAAAACTAACTCGATACTTGAGTTGTATAATATCAGAAATATGTATATATGATTTGATATGACGAGGTAAGAATGACACCTTAAATCTAGGCGTTAATTCTGTTGGAGAGTGGATGACCTATAGTTGTTTGTTCAACTACCTCTAATCATGTTTATTCTTGTGCTAAATATTTTGTAAATGAAAATGCTATTCTGTTGGAAGATAAACTTCATTCTCGTGAGCAGCCATCATTCGGTCAGGTTTTATAATTGCATGTCATCTATAAATTAGCATTATATTTCATTCTAACTGACGAAAATCCGTTCATAGAACGATTAAGTTCTACTTCATAGTAAATTATAGTCAACTAGTTCTTAGTTCAGCCTTATTTTATTTTATGCTGGAAATGGATGGAATATGAAACGTTATTAAAATTGCAGCGATAAATGAACAGATCAAATCAATAAAACATTTCAACAATAAACAACCACACTCCCAAATCAGAAAAGAATAGTCTTAGCAATTAAGGTTTTTATACCTTTAATAAAAGCAATGATAACTGTTACCACATTGTTTACATTACCTTGTCAATATAATAAAATAGTATTGTAAAATGTGTCAGTGTAATTTAAGTAAGTAAGTCCTATAAGACATCAAATATAAGAGACCTTTAGAGGGTTCCCAGTCACTTTTTTATTTGTTTATGAAATGCAAATATTTAGATAACATTGACCTGCAACAGGCTGGAAAACTTCTTATCCTAATTTCTCTCCATATATATATATTCTGTTAATCAGAATCTCACCATTCCTCTTCAACTTTGCCATCGACGACATTCTGGAAACAGCTCTGATGGATGTAAGTAATGGTGGTATGGATCTGTTGCCTGGAGAAAGACTTCTCGACCTTGAGTATGCGGACGATATTGTCTTATTGTGCGATAATCCCCAAGACATGCGATTCGCGCTTAATCAGTTGGCAATCAGTGTCCGTAGGTATGATGTGTGCTTTGCACCTTCGAAGTGCAAAGTACTTCTACAAGACTGGCAGGATTCCAATCCTATACTCACCCTGCATGGTGAGCAGACAGAAGTAGTCGAGAAGTTCGTGTATCTGGGTAGCTGCATAAGTGCTGGTGGGGGTGTGAGTGATGCGATCAATGCACGTATAGTGAAAGCCAGAGCGGCTTATCCCAATCCGGGCCATCTTTGGCGCCTTCGTGATGTTAGTCTGGCCGTAAAAGGTTGGATTTACAACGCGTCGGTGAGAGCAGTTTTACTCTATACTTGTGAAGCCTGGCCTCTCCGAGTTGAGGACGTTAGACGACTTTCTGTGTTCGATCATCGTTGTCTCCGAAGGATTGCTGACATCCAATGGCAACACCATGTCAGTAATGCAGAGGTTCGGCATCGTGTGTTTGGGCACAGAGACAATAATGTAATTGGTGTCACCATCTTGAAACACCGACTTCGGTGGCTTAGATATGTTCTACGAATGTCGTTCCAGAGAATTCCACATTGTGCATTATTTGCCGACTCTTGGACTGTTTGGAGAAAGCGGAGAGGTGGTCAGTATATGACATGGTGTCGTGGTATGAAAGAAAGCTGCAAAGGACTGGCTTGTGTCGGTTCTTCACGACTCCCTGGTTGGGGTCCGAGAGATGGTGCTACACAGTAGCTAGAGACGTTATCAGATATGGCTCAGAATAGAATCCAGTAGCGATCCTGCTGTAACCTTTTACTTTCTTCATAAAAGTGGTTGTTTCTTCCTTAACTAAAAGATTTGTTCTGATTGTACCTTTCCGTTCCCCCTTTATGACTATGATTATCACTACACCCCTTACACCAATCTCTTCATCATTGTATTAAAAAAAATTTTTTTTCGTCCCTCAGTTTTTTTTCTTCTTAAATTCTCATTGTTTTGTGTGGTGCATATATATTTTACGCACTCCTGTACCAATATATATATATATGTTCAAATAAATAAATAATCAGAAATGCTTTATTTTTTATTGTCAATACTACTTACCATTACGTAATACATCCTAAACATTTATAATTATTCATATAGTTTACAAATTCTCTCATTTCGACCGACTTGATATTATTCTATATTTTATTGTTTTTCTTTCAGTTAAATCGTAAAGTTACTAAATCCACCGTAGCTAAACAAAACAATGTGATTGCTAGACAACAGGCTCGTGAACGTCTTGAACTCGCTAAACGCAATATGCAGTTAAAGAATTTGAATAGTCCACATGATGATAAGTCAACATTAAGTATCACTGAAAATAAGCTTATATTTGTATAGAATTTTTACAAAATGTATATCCTTTATTTCAATATTTGTAAATTATTTTTTTCTAAACAAATACGGCAATAATTAAAATGAAATTGAAGTTATTTTACTGAAATATAAGTTATGGATTTCGTTGTATTGTTTAAAGTATTATGGTTTTCTTTTTCGAGCGTTATCTCCCGCTTTTTTTTCAACGAATCCCTCTATATATACTTTACATGTATTTATGTTCTTTTCATTTCCCTAGTTCCCTTATTTATTTATGTTAAAGATATAAATTAAATAATCAGTAGTGAAACAGACTTGTTAATTAAACAAACAAATTCATTTGCTATTCACCTATATTCTAGAAGCAGCTTTATATATCTTTTCTTATACTGTCATGTTCGTTATATGAGATTGCCCTTCATTATTTTTCATTGTTCTAACTGTTGAACATGATTAGTTTCATGCAATTGTTCATTGTATATTCAAAGTTTGTTTTACAAAATAATCTTGCCAGTTTTCACCACTTATTGATTACTTCCAGATGGAACAAGAACAAATAATAAACATTTAAGCATTTCAACACTGTTGTATTCAGGAGCTGTTTTTTTATACTAAGCAAAACAGTTTTTCATATTTTATACGTTTTTTTTATTATCCCTATATTTGATGAATAGGTATGTATAAAGAATATTATTATTACTATATGCCTATGTCTTATCCTCAATTACCGATAAGTTTGTCTATTGTTGAGCTGAGTTGGTTTTTACAGTTGAAAATGATCAGTTAAACTGTTAACAGAGAAATTTGCTTAGAGAGCCATTTATGCAAGCAGTTGAAATAATGTGCGACAAAAACTGTTGACCAAATTCATAACTCGTTCTTTGCTGTGATTCATATGAAATGTTGAAAATTAAACACAGGCTAAAGGATAATATTATTAATATTTGTCTTCCCAACTGTAACTCCAACTTGGGTGTGGTGGTGTTGGGCTTGACCTAGTAGTAAACTCAGTCAAGCTGTGACCTACATATTCATGGTTAGCTTCTCAGGAACTTTTTATTTGTTTTTACATAAACGAGAGAAAAAAACAAGCCATAGCTTTCGTCAATCATTGTAGGAGAGAAATAATCGCATGAGAATTCATGTAATAAAAGGAGATGAAATTTACAGGGTGATAAACAAGATATTATAAATAGTGATATTAATGTTACTTGTAAACTAAATAATCGCACTTAATTTAAAAAGGAACTATTGAAATAGAGTGAACTTATAGAACAATACCATATTCAATATCTGTGTGAAGGTAAATAGTAAATGGCATTCAGGTAGATAAATCCAAATAAAATACTTGTAATTTTTACCAAACCACAGCAAATAAGTTTAGGCTCTACATATATATTTTAATATGTCTTTATTGATCATATTCCATATTATTTGTCTAAGCTATTTGGACGTGTGTAGAAATTCACATAACTCGCGTTTTTAAAGTTTTGTAATGTCTTGATAGGCAGTGCAAATTTGATAACTATCCAGATTAGCGAACATCGCGTATGTAAAAAGTCATAAATGAATTTCCAATGGGTGTTTTAAATGTGCCGGAATAGGACTAGAATATTATAATTTTGATTTAATAAAATACAGTTAAAGGAACTATTTCAGAATCGTGATTATATATGGCAGAATGTATTCTGTATCTGCGAAAAAATGTGTCTTCCTATGAAGGAAAGTCCTAGGTAGGTTCATAGATTATTAAGAAAACGTTAGGTTGATTGAAAGCAATCGTAACTAAGTTATTGTGCTCCACTAGTTTAATTCAGTAATTACACTACACGCTTCCTAACACCTAATTCATTCACAGAGAAAACTAAAGGTGAATAGAAAGCCCTGTATGTAAGTATGTATGTATGTAAGTCATGAATATATATAAATAATACTGAAGTAATTCAGACTAAGATATGTGAACAGTGCACTTGACCAGATAAATCAACTTCTCATTCACAGTAAATCTTTCTATACATGTACTTCTTGCTTACCATGTGTCCTTGTGATAACACGACCTGTCTGGCCTTAGAAGAATATACAACCTGTTTTTACTCTCAGGTTATCTCCTCCTCCTGGATTCCCTCTTTGCATGCACTTGTACAAGTTTATATAAAGAAAAATTAGGTCTTGACGTACATTCCACGCTAGTAACCAGCAATTTTGAGCAAATTATTGCTCCCCTTAATAGTCAAAGATGTTATCACAGCCATTCAAGTAGGAAATAACCTATATGTCTGTGATATCTACTCAACAGATGATCACTTAATAGCAAACAATATCGCTGTCTAATTCTGAGTGCTGATTATATTCTATTGATTAAGTTGGTGTTCTCTTCTGCCCCCAAATGCCCTGGTACGGCCGAGAGTGGGGAGAGTCCGCTCTCCCTCTCGAAATACTCTCACACGGCCACGCGTATATAGCCTCTGCCAGGGAAGTCCTACTCACTGCCTTCTCGTGGCGGGGGTGTTGTTTACGAAAATGAGAGGACGAAAAGCGAATGTCCGGCGCTTTAACCGGATTCCAAACCAATGGTGCACATGGGCTCCAGTATCCTGCGGGAACAAATGGCGAATGAACCAATTGTTGGTCACCGGCTTCCATGGGACTGCATCTCCTTACGATGCTCCACTGCCTTGTGGATCAGACCTTTGGGTCGAAGGCTCGGGGTGTGGCCCCCTAAGAAAACCACCTGCTTCGGTTTGGGCACCCGGGCAGTATCACAGCCCTCACACATATCGGATGAGATTTGTGTGGCGCATATGTATTTGGTGCCTCTTTGTACCATTATCTATGTGTTGAAATAAATAAATAAATAATAACTTCTAATCGCTTAAGCATTGAAACAACGCGCTACATTATCGAGTCATTCAAACTGATGTCTACTGTGATCATATTATAGATGAAAGAGAGGGATTATTTCGTAATTGCAGGGTAGAAATGTATGCATTATTGCATAAACTTCAAAGAAATATAATTTACTTGCCATGTCAGAAATATATATCAACAAATGACCTGACGACATCATAGTACTGTAACTATCGATGTTTTGAATAGATTCTTAACACGTTTATTTTGCCAAAAAATGGATGGACCTTTCACTGATCAGTTTTGATAATATTGGCTTACTTGAAAACGTCATGTGGTTATTTTCAGCTTTCATACACGATTCACATCAATTGAGTCGAACAAACGCATCAGTTATCACATCATTATGTGTGTTTTGGGTGATGGGGATTGTAAGTGTATGTAATCGTTTATCCCTTCTTATCATCTATTATGAATGAGATGGCTCATTAAAGAGTTTAAACAAGAATTAGATCCCATGATTATACACACACATTAACTTTCCGAATATAATTATAGTTATGTTGCAGAATAAAATGAATTTCGATTGTCGTTCACTCTTATTGCGTAATAACCAAGCTATATTTTCACCACGCAATATTAGTAATTTCATATGATTGCACGTTTGGAAAGGGGCCTATATTTGAATCGTGGTAATCACTACATATCGTTGTGCATAGGCTATAAGAGGTTTTCGGACCCTTTGTACATTGGATATCGCATTTAGTTACGTAGACTGACAAGGTATCTATGACGTGTTTTATAATTGCTTGTCATTGTTACTTACGAACAGTTGCCTCGTGTTCATCAGAATCAACACTAGTTTTTAACTTAACCGGTTGAAATTTGAATTGATTGTCAATGTTCACATAAAATGAAAGCCTAGCGATTTAAAAAACAGGTAATGTAATACATTTTCAGTAGACATTTTGAGTTGTATGAGTAAAAAGCTCATATTAGAGATTTAAATTAGATAGTGAATGGGTTATCCGACACATTTCTAACGTTATATGTATATTCAACAGTTCCGGGTATTTACCGTACATTTAGTGAAAGTTGTCATACATAATAGATTGTAACTCTCACCAAATAATTCATTTCAAGTATCTTCAGTTATCTACAACTACCTGCTATGAATATATTTGTGCAAGTCGAAAAACAAATGTATAGGAATTTTGAGCCTGAAATGAAATTTCTGACAGAAATTACACTGAAATTACCAACCGACATTAGTTGGACAACCATTGTAAGCAGTAGATGGCCACTTCGTCCTAGTGTGGGGCTGATTAATGTTAAGCATGTAAACCGTTGGATTCCGGTTTAGTGATTTGGAGTCGAAGTATTTACGCCCCAGATTGGAGGGCATGATTTTGATTTCGAGCCGCACACTGAGCAGCCCCAGTGCTTCCAAGTTTCCAGTGATTGTTTAACTTAAATGAGTTTGTAATTTAAATGAAACCCAACTATCTACTGAGAAATCACACTATAATATGCGGTACCTATGGCACAAGATAAAAACGGGCTTTTGATTGAAATATTTCTGTTTTCAAGACTTTGGTAAACGGTTTTCTTGCGATAAGATGTGTATCATTATACAACGGTGTCCCGATTCATTAATGTAGTAAAGAAACAGTTTTTTGCTAATTAAAACTTCGATCATACGAAAGAGATTCAATAGTTAGTTCGAATAAATTTTACAGAGTCCTTGCGAAAATGCAACAAGGGCTAACACAAGTCAGGTGACCTACCAGCCTTTTTGCTCAAAGTTTTATGTTGAAGAAACAAAACGTGGAATTAGTAGGCATGACACTAATTTCTAATATGGTAACAACTGTTATAAACAATAATAACACAGTTCTCTTCATCCAAGAGTCTAACTCAACCATTAATTTCTCCATAACTTTGAGGATCAGACTAACGAATGAAGCTGTTTTTGACAGCATATTTATAGGAAGGTTTGTAACTAATAATGATGAAACTCAACTTTAACCCGTTAGAAGAATTTAAGAACACTAAACGTCCACGCGAAAGACAGATTTTAATTGCCATTATTCACAAAATTATCTCTCCAATAATGTCGTTTAACGACATATGGAGTTAGTTGCTAAGATACAAGTGTTGACACAATCGATATCGTAAAAACTAAAATTTAAGTCCGTATGCTCACTGTAGTGATTATTTTTAAGGAATTCAACAAATGTCTCGACATTACATGGTAGACACGGAAATACTCTTAACTGAAATTTAATCTATTTCAGCATTCACACACTAGATAACTAGTAAAACTCCTGAAAGTGGAGTATACAACAGATTACTTCAAGCATTGAAAATGTGATACATAACCTCAGATCAAATATAATTCAAACAATAGGAGGTAAGATGAACTCATTTTACTTTATCTGCTCAAAAAAAAACAAGTTGAGGGAAGAAATATTTCCTTTTAATTATTTCTTTATCAAGGCTCTAGACTAATATATATGCTTTATAAGTGAGAAGAAAGTCAATACCAATTAGATGGTGGTCACTTACTCACTTAAGACAATGGAGGACAGTCGCGCAATATTGTGGATTGTCTGAATTTCGACATTAACACAGTCGGATGCCGGTTCAGCGGTCTAGAGCTTAAGTGTTCGCGCACGAGACCGATAGGTCCTGGGCTCGAGTCCCGCATGTGGGATCGTGGATATGCACTACCGAGGAGTCCCAAGCTAGGATAGAACAGCCGTCCAATGCTTCCAGGTTTTCAATGGT